CCACTTTGCTTTTTTCCAGACTAATTGTTAATTGTAGTTTGTCAAAGTAGATTTTAAGTCTTGTAGTGGCTTGATTCAATTTTTCTGCAGATTCTTGTATGTTATTTGAGTAACAGTAAATCACTAAATCATCAGCAAACTGTAAATTGGTAACACTAGATCCTAAAACAATATTAAGTCTTCTTATATACAAAATGAATAACAAAGGGCTTAAAATACTTCCTTGACAACTACCTTTAAATGAGTATTTTGGGCCATATAACTTAGAATTATGTTTAACATATACTATTCTGCCATTAATGAAATTATATATCCAATTTATTATTTTTCCAGGTAACCCAATGGAATTTAGTTCAGAGCATAAAATTTGATGATTAATGTTATTAAAAGCTCCAACTATATCGAAAAACACACAGACTAGTGCTTTGTCATCAGAAAAGGCATTGAGGATATCTAAATGGAGATGACATATACTATCACGAGTAGATTTCCCTCTTCTGAAGCCGAATTGATTGTCAGGTAATATTCCATATTTTTCTATATAAAACTCTAGTCTCAGTTTAATCAATTGTTCAAATATCTTTCCTACACATGAAGATAGAACTATAGGTCGATATGAGTCTACTAAGCCAGGTTTCCTATTTGGTTTTAAAATGGGGATGATACAGTCAGTTTTCCAAGATTCAGGGATTTCATTTTGCAACCATAGTGTATTTAGAATGCTTAAGAAAATACTGAGTGAGCTATCATTTAATTCCTTTAACATATGATACGATATCCAGTCCAATCCACAAGCAGTCTCTTTACGTGATTTTAAGGCACATTTAAGTTCTTGCAAGGAGAATCTGTCTGTAATGTACTTATTAGTTTCATTTAAGCTATGTCCAAGTAGAAGGAATGGAGAACGATCTGAATCATTGGCTTGAGTATATTTGTTTAAAAAGGGTGTAATCCACTCATCTGTAATGCTTATATTGTTAGTGAAAGTATTATTAAATTTTCTCATATAATTCCAAATGAACTTAATTGGAGTATTTCTATTAAAAGATTCACAAAGCCTTTGCCAAGCCTTTTTTTGTTCAAGTTTTAGAATAACCTTTTTACGAGCTTGCAGCCTCTTGAAATTGATGTAATTTTCATTTGTAGAATTTTCTTTGAATGAAACGTATGCCTGCTTAGAAGACTGCACTGCATCGTTACATATGCTATTCCACCAAGGGACTGTTAATTTCCGTTTTTTTTTATTATTAAGAAACACCTTGCTACTGTTTTTGGACGTTATTTTTTGAGGGCTAGATTCTTCAATTGCTTCATTTAAAACATCACAGAAACTATTATATGAGTCAATTGCGCTATTGCTTGCTATATAAGATTGTAATTTTTTATTGACTAATGTTGAATATTTTTTCCAGTCTATTAGTTTGAGATTGTAATGGGTAGGTATGTTAGAATTATTGAAGCATGGTTGAAATTCTATTTCAGTTGTTACAGGGAGGTGATAGCTTCCAAGAGGATCATCGTGAACATCCCAATTACAAGACAGAGCAATGGAAGAAGACACTAGAGTGAGATCTATTGCACTTGGACTCCAGCTAGCTGAGCCTACTGTTGTCATCCTACCATCATTTAATAATAACAAATCATTGTTTTCAACTATGTCGCAAATGTCCCTACCACGAGTATCAGTGGAATTACATCCCCACAATGTATTGTGAGCATTTAAATCACCTGCAATCAGCATCGGTTCAGGAATTTGTTTAATTAAGTTATTTAATTTAACCTTAGAGAACCTAGGTGTACTATATGGAGGACAATATATACTTACTATTGATAGATCTGTATTATGAAACCTTATTCTAATGGCAATGTTTTGAATAGAATTATCAGATGTAGTATTTAGAGCTTGATGAGGAATATCATTTCTAATGGCAATTGCAACACCATTGTGTCTATTACCTGAGTCCAATCTAACAACTGTATAGCCTTTTATAGTAAATTTTAATTCTGGTCTTAACCATGTTTCTGACAAAAGAGCTATATGAACATTTTGTTCATATAGAAAATGAATTAGGCAATTTTTATTACATAAAACACTCTGAGCATTCCACTGGATTACCTTTAAAGCCATTATTTACTATTATAAGATGAAACTACTTCTTTTAGAGCCTCTTTAATATTACTGGAATTAGTTAAGCTATTTGTCTTAATTTTAATTAAACTTTGTACAAGAATATTTACAATATGATCATTTTCTAATAATTTTATTAAATCTTGTTTGAAATCATTAGTTTTTTTATTTGGTAATGGTGGAAATTGTTTTGTATTTACTATATCAAAATAAGTTACTGGATTGTTGATCTTTTTTTTGTTTTCAATTATTTTTTGCTTCTTAATGGGACATATTTTATCAATAGCAATATGACTGCCTTTACAATGAAAGCAATATAAGACTGGACTTGTACATTCCCTGTAATTGTGATTGTCACCACACTTTGAGCAACGTGCTGCATTCTTGCAAAAAGCTGCTGTATGGCCATATATTAGACAATTAAAACATTGTTTAATAGGTGGAATGTATTTCCTGACTGGAAAGAGCCATGAATTCAACTCTACAGATTCTGGTAAGCTAGTCGAAGCGAACGTAATTGAAATTGTCTGGGTTGGCGACAGCGCCACGACACCGTCGTCACCCTTTACTTTACGCATAAATCTGCGAATAGATATAATTTTTTTTGAACAAGTAAGATGTTTGTATAGTTTGAAATTGCTGTAATCAGTAGGTACACTCGTTATAACACCAATTTGTTCAGATGCTGACGCTGGTATGGACGCCTGTAATCTATGTTGCATGAAAAAATCTTTATTTTGAAGTGCTGCATTAGCCATGGCCGGTTTATCAAAAATAATCCCAAATTTATATTTATTTATTCTTTTAAATTGTTTAATACCCTTTATATTTCTTTGGAATATGTTCGATAGGTACATTAAGTCTCTATTGCCTATTGGTTTTGTGTCATCAGTGCTCGATATGAAAACTATGAACTCAGCATCGCCTGCATTTTCAGAATATGACCGAACGTAATTTGATAGTAAAAAAGGTTTGTACTTAGACGCAGATTCTTGTTCTATGTCATCGAAAGTAGAATGATGTTCCGAAGATGACGAGCTGGAGGAGGACGCGGCGTCGTCATCACCTGGATTGTCTGCATCTCCACTCGGTTTACGTTTCCGCTTTTTAGATTTTACCCTACCCATTATAAAAATAGTAGTAAGTCGTAAACTTTTAGCAATTAGGGTAATTTAGAGAAATTAAAATAATTTTCAAAAAAGAAAAGAGTCTTTCCGTTTACAAGTTCCCGCGCGAATCGTATATTTCTTTCTACAACCTCTTTTTCAATTGCCTATCATGGTAGTTTGCCTAAATTTTTTTCCATGAGAGAGGTCTATTTTGAATTATCATTATAAACATTTTACTATCAATTTAGTTATTTGATATTCGTCTGTTATATGAAACATCACAGTGTTATATACAACGCTTAAAAAACTTAATAAAATCTATATTACATTTTCAAGTAGGTTTTATGTGATAAAACCTCTATTCTAAGAGTATTTTATAACATAATAGCACTGCGAGATAAATAAAATCTGCTGATTTAATTTAAAGCGATATCATCTTGTGATATAATTGATAATGTGAGGCGCGAGTGGGTGTGTGTAGGTCAATGTCGGTCGTTCTACACACGCCGACTGCGCATACGCATTTGCGTAACAATAACCACGCCTACAATAAAAATATCCTGCTTTTCATATATTTTTTATTTATATCCATCGAAAAGTTGTCTGGCGGCGTTGTGGGTGCGTTTGGCGCGTGATTGCGGAAGTTAAGCGAATTTTATAAAGGTCTATTATCAGATGGGTCGCCTTAATTTGATTTATAAAATTTTCGCGGAACGCCCATGTTTCTTATATAAAAACCTTTAATAGAAAAACGTATTTATACTTACAACATTAATAACACAGCAAAAAGGAAAAATAATTCTTAAAATGTCAATATAAAAGTTCAAGAAAGTATTTTATTTCGCTATCCAAAAGCTGACGTTATAGCCATAGCTTTTTCAATATAAATTTGTGTTAAAAGGCTTGCTAGCTAGATTAAGATATTGCCTTTATTAATTTAACTTAATACACTTAAATATCCAATCTTAATCTAATTCTTACAATAATTGAGTATGTTAAAAAAAATTACATTCCTCTTATAAAACTTTTGATAGAAACGGTTCTAAATTAATATTTTTTCTAACATAAACCCTTTTTTAAATAACCTGTCTAAGTTAACTAATGTTTTTTTATAAATAGATAAAAAAAACATTAGTTAACAAATGCATGTTAGAAACGCAATATAATGTATTTGCATACAATTTTCATATATTGTTTAAGTTTAAGTGCATTAAATTAGAATTTAAATTTTAATATGAATAACTTTATCTTTAAAATACTCATACCATTGAACTTGATGTGAAACAATCAACGACCGACGTGGCTAGTCCTTGAATTTATTTAAATCAACTTCTATTATTAGAACGATAGAGTTTATTAAATTAAACATATACCTATAGTGTTTCGAATTACAATCACATAATATTAATATAAAACTTCAATAAATTAAAATTTCATGTAGTAAAAATTAAATGTCTTCTTTAAATTATAAATTCTCGATAAATTCTCGACTCACGAGTTATAAATAACAAAATTACAACCGTAAACAAAAACATAGTAAACAAATCATTGGTGTCGGAATAAAATACGAATATTTGATCATTTATTTATATAATAATTTAAATATCATCTTGCGAAGTGGATAGTTTATTTGAATATATCATAAAGTTGTAAAAAATCGAAATATAATTAATTTAGCGCGATTAATACTGACTGATACGCGCAGTTGCTATCACGTTGCCGTGTTATTCCGATTAAAAAATAAATATGTCAACTTTATTTACCTTTTTCACTAAGTTGGCAGCCATGTAACCTCCCATATTGCCAAGGCCGAGGAAGGCCACATTTTTGTCGGCCTTCGAACTATACGCCCTAGAGAAAGTTAACAAACACTGAGTGCGAGACGCCATCTTGTTTCTGTATTTAGATGTACGTTTACACTCGGCGCGGACGCAACGCGACTGATTCCAGTTTACATTTAGCTAGTGCCACATTTTGTGTCGTTCACTACCACAGTGCGACGTTCGTCAGTAGCATAAAAAAAATCCGTTACGACGTTATTCTTCAACTACCTTCACTCACAAAGTGGTTTCAAATCACTGGAATCGTAAACGGCAAAACCTGTTGCACTTTTAGTCGTCTGAGCTGATTAATATTGTGCATATCTAGTGCTCCATATACTAGAAATTTGAAAGACATGAAAAACACACACAACACAAATATGTATAATTCGTGCATCCTTTGATTCGTGCTAAAAAACCGACACTGACGCTGATCACTGGCAAATACAAATGCAAAATAGCAAACACAATTTTGTTTGGAGCAAACACTCATCTACCCGTTTGGGTTTTTTGTTCGTATTCGTTGTTTGCCCTTTATTTGGTAAGCGTGTGGAGCTGCCCTTGATCCCTTGCGGATAAACAGAAAGAAATGGCTACCAAAAGGTGCGGCTTGCACTGATTATTATTTCCATAGCATTTAACTCTTCTTTAAACAATTTCTGCCACCTCCCTTATTACAATGGTACATAAATTATCTCTACATAGGTTAAGCACAAGCATTTTCCAAACGGCCATCAAACTAGAGGAAAGCATCTGGTATTCTCTTTACATATCCAAACCACCGTAGCTTGCGTCTGACAACTTTTTCGTTCACATTATTTTTCAAGACAAATCTCTTTGTTATTCTCCATTACGAATGCAATCTGCAAGTGTTACGAAAAAATATTTGATAGCATTCATTCTAATATTGTCTCTTTCGATTAAAATTATTTAACTTTAATGCTATATCGATCCTGACACATTTATCTGATTATGTTATCAGAATAATGAAAAAACGCTACTGCTCTCCTTTGAATTTGACTGTGTCTAATCGTTATCTTATCACATAGCGACCTCTTCGTACGTGGTAACTAGATCAATATTTAAAGCATTAATGCCATGCATTAATTTAATTTTATTGATGACCTCCGTAGCCGAGTGGCTTGAGCGCCGGTTAAATCACCATTCCTGGTCGAATTAATGTAAAAAGTAAACTATTCTTTATTGTCTAGGCTCAATCAAATGCATGTTAGAATATACAAAACTGTCAAATTTTCGCACTCGATTTTAAACATTGATGTTACAGGTCAAAATCCATTGCAGATATGTCGAGTTTCTGCAATGGATTTTCATGATGATGATCCACTGAGCTACCCAGGACAATAATGAATATTATGAAACAACATGACATACATTTCTCAGTTTCCCAAGAGCTAGCCAAAAGCTTTCGTTTATTGGAGTATCTGAGACAACGAAGTTATACACGGCGGCACATCAGGTTACCACAATATCTCTTTCCGCGATTCATTTAAAACTTTACCCTCAATGCATTAAGGTTATGATAGATTTGTGTTGACATGCAGTTGATTGTACAAAGAACTAACGTCCGAATCAGTTACAATTAAAATCGAGAAAACTACATCATATCTAAGACAGTTGCATGTTAAGTCGTTGGTCCCACCTGCATTTTCAGTCGTTAATACCATCTACTCCGCACTGGTCCAGCGAGGTGGGTCATGGCTTAACCATCCATCCATAAGGAAGGCCTTAGCCCCTGCAGTGGGACGTAAAAGGGCTGTTCAATATTGATACAAGAAAACTCTTCCTAACCTCGCTATGCCGCCGTGAAAATAGGTATTTAACACTTTTAGAAAAAAATTACCACATTATTTATGTTAACTTTTTTTCATTAGATTCTATACAAAATATTGTTTTATGTTACCAAAAAAAAACTAATTTCTTAAAAGGGTTTTCTACGTCATATCACCGTTGACTAGAACCGGATATGGTAAGATCGTTAATCGTGTCACTAGCTCACTAGTCCTGAGTTCTACCTACCCTTGTCAGCTGTTTTTTTTTTACAATTCTATATTTACAAATAAAAATAAGCCTTTGTAGAATCGCTTCGTTCTGTAGGTATCTGTCTATTAAGACACATTTTCTCTGCAATGTGTTGAGGTTATAAGTTAAGTTTTCTACCCACTAGAACTGCTCTATATTTTAATTTAGCGACCATACTTCAATTAATGCTGGTTTTGTAACGTTATTTCTTATGTTGAATCTTTAATTATCATGAATACATACAACTGACAATGTAACTAAACAAAATTTACAAAAATTCCCTATGTAAAGTGTGTTGAGCTAAAACTAGAATACTAATCTTCAAAGCGCCTTTGTTTTCTATGAATACTGCTGAAAACCAGACTTAGAATCGTCATTTAAGCTAAAAGTGCACTCTAGACATTTTCTTTAAGATATTCTTAACTATCTGTCTAATCTCAAATAACGTACCGTTAAAACCATATTATTTTAAGCCAAATTCGAAAAAAATAATATCATATTACAAAAAAATAAGTAATAAGTATTAGTTTGTTCTTACATAGCAACAAAAATGTCGTCGAAATGTACCGACCTTGGAGAAATCTTTATATAAACGTTGACGCAAGATAACCGCGAGTTTAATAATAATTAATATCGCGGTGAAAAAACACGTGGTTTTAAACATTTAGATTGATACCTATTTTAATTGTTATAAATATTCCCTTATCTGTAAACCTATTTGCTATCTAATTTTACATCTGATTAATCATTGACAAGTGACGTATAATTCTATTTTCTCTATCAACAGATTACAAACAGACGTACGTCCGATTTTAAGACTCTCACAGTTTTATTTTGACCTCTGCTTAAAGTTATTTGTTTACCCTGACTTGCAAATGGCGGACTACAAAAAGGCGCCAACAAACAATAAGTGGGTTATGGCTGTTAACTCAGTTTTAATTGTTTATTTTTTTTTTATTCTTATTCATTACCCCAAATAAATTTTTAATTAAAAAATCATACATTAAGGATTAATTTACATTTTAAAAGTAAATAACTATCTTTATTACTATTGACAAAAATATCATGAAACATAACAACAAAAGGCATGCAAATTGATATCGATAACATCCTTATTTATGAGGTCCACGCAAAATAGATTTTTTTATAAATATTCGAATGTACTGTCACTGCTGTTTTTGCCATTTCAATTTAACAAATTCTGTAAGTAGGTAGAAAATAACAAATTAACATTATTGAAATCATATTATACAACTATAGTTACATACTTTCGCAATGTTTACCCAAATCTGACTTGCAAATGGCCGACTACAAAAAGGCGCCAACAAACAATAGGTGGGTTATGGCTGTTAACTCAGTTTTGTTGTTATAAAACCCCCGTGTAATTATTACATTAATCAAGCGATAAATGCCACAATAAACTTAAACGGGTTATTCTACCTTAGCCTGTCTACATTGAACCAAAGGAAAATAATAGAAACAAAATTTATATTGTAATAACCAACAAGCTGTTTTCCCGCGACTTAGAACATATTACTCGCGTAAGATGAAGCTTCCCGTAGGTGTTTTTTTTTTTTAAATCAATCCAGTATTGGAGCTTATTCGATGCAAACAAATAAACAATGAAATCTTTTCTCTTTTTAAAAAAATAAAGAAATTTAAATCGCTAATAGTAAAATGAGTTCTACAATCAAAAGTAACACTACTACTTTTATTTATGTTTGAAGACACATATAGACGATAATGTAAACACGTTTTTTGTCTTTTTTACCTATAACATCGAAAAATTGTTATTTACTTATATATATATATATATATATATATATATGTGTTGTAGGATGTCTGTTTACTAAGTACACGAAATTATATTACAAAGTTTTTCTTGCTATTAATGATACCAGATGATAATAAACCGTATGCTAGGTAAAAATTTTGCACCATAAATATGTTAAGCTATCTTTCGAACATCGTATTTCGAATTTTCGACCGCAGTAATGCCAATTTGCTCATTATGTGGTTCTATAGAAATTGACGTCATTGTACTCATGGAGACCAGTAGTTTCTAAATTTACTGTTGGTCTGTACATGTATAACATTTCGTCAGGCAATTGGTGTATTTTTATTGTACATTTAAGTATCTTCCTATTCCGTTATTATTCGATGATTTTTGGTGTTGAATAGCTCGCACGTGCGATTTCAAGTTTGGTTCTCGGTCGGGTCATTATAGAAAATTATTCTTTCTTTCTTTCCTAATGTTTGATACGTCTAATATTTAATGACTTAATAACTATACTAATTTTATAAAGAAAAAAGAATTGATTTCTTTTTTCTACATCATATGTGGATGACATAGGCTATGATTTACGCAGGCGAAGTTCCGAAAGCACTAGTTTTATTAAAGTTAAAAAAGATTCTGCTTTTTCCCTTGTACCTTATAAAACAAAAACTTGCCTTTTTACTCTGCACCTAACCTTAGAGCAATAATCGCCGGACCAGGGGAGATCTTTCTATCCCCGCCATCCATAATAGCTGACAGCGTACCGCGGTCCATTGTGTCGACACAATGAGCGGTCATAATTAAGATAAAACTGCGAACGTTACAAGGAGTTTCATGGAGTCAGCACCTGGTCATTTAGACACATCAGGATTAGATAGTCATTTATTCAGTACCGTCACCTACACACGTTAAATTAACATGACACCTGGGAACTAATTTTGTTTGTCCTCGAACGCAAATAAAGAAAATTTCAGTTTTTATAATTTTGTTAAATTCCTACATGTGAAAATTAACTGTGGATCAGAGACCTCCATTGCATCTTAAATTTTCGAAAATTGTAGGTATTTCTATGAAGTGATATTTGCGTTTTGAAAATAGACGAACCTAACTTTCCGCGAGCGGCTTCGATAACTAGCAGTCTATATGTTAATCCAGATTTAAATTATCCGTATACCAAGTTTTTTCGTGAAAGAATAACAAACATACATACATATATTCATCCTCATAAACTTTCGTATTTATAATAGTAGTAGGATTTCGATTTCAGAAATATAGTA